TCAGATCAACTCTCTCTTATCTTGATTTCTGTCACTCTTTAATTTTTCTAGTTTTTCATCCTGTTCCTTGAAATATTTCTGTCCTTTTTTCATCAGTTTGCAATTGAACTAACAAAGAACTGTCAAAAACAAACAGAAAACCCAGTTTTTTTGCAAGCTTTACTGACAAAGGGAATATTTTCTAATGATGTTAAAAGCATCTTATCCAGGCAGGATGCAGAGGAAGAAGGCCATATAGACTTAAGGAATGAAAATCTGCTGAAACGTCACAAGTTGTTGTGTGGGAGAGAGTAAGGTAGACAGGTGGTTAAAATGCAGTAAACAAAGAGGGATGGAGGTGAAAGACGTAGCTGGTGGCTCTAGGGACGTGTTAAGTACCAAATGAAAGGGATGTTTGGTTTTGGTACAGTATTTATGATTCCTCACTTGGAAGAGTTCAAATTAGGTTTCTGTGCTATAGTTAGAGAGACGCAATGTGAGTAAATGACAGAAACAGTGAAAATCCTTAAAACATCAAAAGAGTTCATTATTAGATTATTATTCATACAATTCATTAGCATTATTTAGTGGATTATTATTCATTATCCACTGAAATGCAAAATGTCCAAAGCGCTGATCACTTACCCCTGCCCCCATTAAAAACTGGTGTTGGGCTACATGATTCACGTTTTAGCTAATAATTGATGTTTTCCATGAGGTTGTGATTAATGAGACCAAATACATGAGTGTATATAAATATATATAATATGTATGTGAAAAATAAACATTTTTTTAAGTCATGTAGTTAGGAAAACTTCTTTTTCCTTGTTTTTGCACTGGACCTATGTTTGATGTGTTGTATACTGTACCCCTTTCCGCTTTGAGATGATCTCTCTCTTAATTTGCATTTTATGTAAACCAGGAAAAAGATGACAGTGATACAACAATAAATATCCTGAAGTAAGCTTTGTGCTGCTTGTCTTTTTCTTGTACACGTTGCATCAGAAGCAGAACAAATGTTTGTCTGATAGAAATTGCACAAAACAAACCACACCAGCGTTCTCTGGCATCGGTGTCTGCTGTCTGACAGATTTTTGTTGTTTACAGGTTGTCCCGGGGGTCACTGACAAAGACACGCATGCACACATAAGATCAATTTCTACTAACCTGGAAAAAAACACACCTCTTTGATTTACACTTTGCTTCACACACACTCGGAGAAATGATTGTCTAATGGAGGTGTGACCTTCAAGTTTCAAAGAATTAGATTACGATACCCAATTGCTCATGTTTGGCCGTGACGTATAAAATGTGCCAGGTCGATCGTGAAGGAATCTTTGCAATGAAGCTTACTGGAAGCTTACAGACGCAAATCATCCCAAAATAGAAATGACAGCAATAAAATAAACATTCTTCTTTAATTTCTCAATGCTTGGAGAAGCAAACAGACTGAAAGACTTTGTTCACTGCAGACTTGTGAATTTCAAAGCTACATTGAATGAAATGTGCTTTAGAGGTAATTAGATCTCATAAAACCTTTGGATCAGGTTTTTAAAAAAATAATTATTAAATTATTGCAGAGTATATCTGGTTTCATTGAAAACCACATTCCAATCTGGTTGAAATAGTGCATTTGATTTTATAACACAACAGAGGAAAAATACAGAAAATGTTATGCTGTGTTAATCTATTTGTTGTCTAAATATAGGAGCAAATAGAGAAAAAAATGTAAGTGCGGAATACTGTGACAAGCGCAGAGCACTGCAAAAATATTGTGCGGCTTCAGGAGCAATGCCAGAAAAATTACTATTAACTCCCCGTGCGGATTTCAATTAAAGGAGCTGGAATGCGTTAAACTTTCTCGGACAGTTGAGGAAAAGAAAAAGAATGACTGCCATCTGACTTTCTAAAAACAAATATGCAGGAGGAAATACTTTCTTCTAGTTTAAGCTACTCTGTCATTTCGTTTTCGGAAACGAGGCTTAGCATATGCATATATTCTACAACATCAACACAGGAAAGAATTATAAACTTATAAGTAAACGGTAACGGTTAATTAAAGGAGAAAAACAAAAAAATTAAAAACAGTATTTGTTATGAGGAAAAGAAAAAGAAACCCCAAAAAAATCTCACCTCCATGTTGTGTTGTTCTTAATTCAATGCTTTGATTTTTAGTTAAGTCTTTTTGGGGTTAAAATGAGTCCACAAACTAAAATTACCGCTTCAACGTCGTCGTTCATGTTTGTTTATTCCAAGTTCTGGTGTGATAGCACAGAAATTTAAGGGATTTCATATCTGGAACTGGAATGTCCTTGAGTGAAACCTCACACTCTGTACGATCCAACCCGTTGTCACTACGATTTTAAATCGGCTAGTGTGTGTTCTCTCACCTTTTGAGAATCGGCCGACGATTCCTGAATGGTGTTGTGTGAACTGGGCTTTAGCACCGTGTTTTACAAGGATTTTTAGAATGAAAGAGGTTTTCTTTTAGTCAAGATGTTTTTTCCCTTAACTTTTGGGGTTGGATATTTGATGACAACAGGAGTGAGGAAAGTTTTCAACAAACTGCTTCCGGGAACCAGTTTTGAAAGAAGTAGCTCTGAGGTGGACCGCACCGAATACGATAAATTTGATGCTTTTTATTCCCATCCTTCCCCGGCGGGAAGGTTTGCTGTGAGAAAAACCTTAACGAAACCTTGACCTCAGACGAGTGCACTGAACATGATGAATTTTCTTTTTGAGCCTTCCCCAGCTGGGGAAGTTGGCTAAGAGAAACAGCATAGCTCTGATGACAAGAGCACAATGAAATTTTGGATGTTTTCAGCAAGTTCTCCAGCTAGAAAGCACACTTCCTGCTTGAAGTTTGCTGTGAGTTTTCAGAAGACTATATTTCCTTTGAAGAAACTCCTGTAATAAAGAATGATTCCTCCAGTTCCTCTGATTCTTTTGATTTCTTCTTATAAGGCTTTGGTGTCAATTTTCTGAGAGTTCTGCTCCAAAGGAAAAACTTTTCTGGCTGAAGAAGTTTGTAGGACCCGTCAAGAGAAATCTGACCATATCTCTGATCTCTATCCAGACCCAAAACCATCTGAAAATATGACATTTGAGTCAAAAAAACTCAACTTCCGTTGAAAAGAGATCTGTCCGAGGGAATGATTTCACCAATCTTCACCAATCTCCCCACACACACATAAATATTTAATACATTGGAGGGCGGGGTTCGAATCCAGTCTGGGTCCTTAGGCAAGACCCTTCAAGCTACTGCCTACCTCATACCATGAGAAATACTAAGTTGCGTAACATGCCGGCTCAGACGTCGCCCGGCCAAACAAGGTCTGCGTCAGGTGTTGGGAACCAGAGCACCTTGATGACAAACGGGCTACTGGAACAAGACGGAAATGGGCGAGAGGTGAAAATGTGGATCTGTTGGAATGCTACTACTCAAGTAACCCTAACCAGAGAGGTTACATGCAAAGACTGGGGAAGGAATGTTTACTTCGACATCCCCAGTACGACATAACCAAGTGGCAGGCATAGTGTACAGAAACATCTGTGCAGAATATGGACTGGAAACCCCGAGATCAAAGTGGGAAACAACCCCAAAGGTGGTGGAGAACACCAGAGCTAAGATCCTGTGGGACTTCCAGATCCAGACAGACAAAATGGTAATGGCGAACCAACCAGACATTGTCGTAGTGGATAAACACAGAGGAAAGCCGTTGTGGTAGATGTAGCAATACCAAGTGATTGCAACATCAGGAAAAAGGAGCACGAGAAACTGGAGAAATACCAGGGCCTCAGGGAAGAACTGGAGAGGGCCTGGAAGGTGAAGACCACAGTGGTGCCTGTGGTCATCGGGGCCCTCGGGGCAGTAACCCCCAAACTGTAACATGCCACAACTTTGGCATGTTACTGATCTCAAAATATACCACAGTTTTGAAAGTAACTTCTTAAAAACTATTTTCTTTCCTGCCTCTTAGCCAGGAAGTCATTTCAGATTAAATCTCTTCTTTGAGGGAGACCTGAAGAAATCTCCCTCTGTTGAATGTCCACTTCACAAAATGTTAGAGAAAACTCCGGGACGAGCCCAGTTTCCTGTGTGGGTTGGTCTCTTATTGTGGACCACCATGTCTTTGTAAGTTTTGGTGTCGAAGCAAAAGGGGTCTTACCCAATAGTGTTGCTGTGGTAATCGTTTTTGAATGTAGAGTTGCCTTCTTGAGCAGCATATCAGACTGCAGGCTAGCTAGTAATCCCATAGCCCAGCTAGTTAACCAGCTAATGTCAGCTGTGTTACTGTAAGAGGAGCATAAAGAAAGGGTTTAACATTCTACTTTTGCTTTCGACCACTGTGTACATTTGCTAAACAAATCTTTTAGAATCACCTACAGTTTAGTTGCCAGTCTCATCAAAGCTATTTCACTACTTGTGACAAAAGTAGAATCTCAAATTTGTGAGCTGAAAAAAGACTTAAAGTAATGTGAAACTTCTTCCAAAGGTTTGGGTGTATTTCACAACTCTTCAGGCCTAAACTGAAGAAAATAAAAAGATGCTTTTAGACCTTGCAGAACAGTATTTTAAAGTCTATTCTTTGAGCTCCAGGGAGCCAGCAGAATCTTGCCACCGTATGTCGTGGATGTTCAATCGCCTGTGATCTGTATCTCTTAACCAAGAGCAATTTAGTGTCGTAGGAATGGACTTGTAGAAAACCAGCATAAATTATCAAACTTTGCTTCTATTGGAAAGTTCAGAAGCCTCTTGATGACCTTTTTTGGTCACAAATACCTTGGATGGGCTGCGCTTAAATGAACTTTGTTGTGGCGGGGGTTGTTTTACAACTGAATTACAAACATAAAAAAAACATCCTGATGATCCCCAAGACTTAAAAACTATTGAGAAAACAAAATGGAGGTGGCCTTGTATATTTCCAGATGTAGAAGCAACTCTGGTAACTCTTCGTTGACTTGCACGTTATTTTCAATGTCAAAAAAAAAAAAGGGTGGGGAAAAATTACAGAGCCAAATTGGTTTGCAAAGTTTTCTTCTTTCTTTATTCATGGTTCATCGTGGTAGTTGAGCTAGTACATTAGTAGCTGGACATCAGCAGTGGTCCTCTGTCAGACTGCATTAACCCGTCACCCTCTCCGTGTGTCTGTCTCGCTCTGAGTTTTATGTTTCCACAGACGACTCTCTGGCACCGGTCGCAGGTTTCCTGTCTCCAGTTCTTGGATAAACTTTGTTCCGTCAGCCAGGACACCCTGAACGCCTCTTTTGCATAAAAACATCGCCAACATCTAGAAGAACAATTTTAATCATGAAAAATAAATAGTAAACTACAAATATATCATTCTCTATACTAGTCATTTGTATTTGTATTTTTCTTATGCTAAAGAAGGAATCTAATGAATAATCCATCCAGCATTCAGTTTCAAAGCTGAAAACTACTTGAAGTAGTTTTTTTGCTCCTTTTGCTGCCCTCCAGAAGAACTTTGCTATCCCCTCCTCTTACCCCCTCCTCCTGACCCTTTCAATACACCCCATGAGCACACACACACACACACACACACACACACGCACACATACATGTGTAAAAGTGTGTGTCAGCTCAACCATAGCAGCAAGCGCCCGTTGGCCAAGTCATGTCCGGCAGACACACGGTCACCTAGCAGTTTGACGGGATCGTCCTCCTGGTGAATTGGGACTTTAGTTTGTGTTGTTTAATCTGCTGGAGAAAGAGCAGACAGGTAAGGGGCTCAGCTTATGATGGGTGGAGGGGTTGGTGGGGGTTGTTTTACACGTGCACGGCTACGATCGTCACCCGTAGTCCAAACCCAACCTACAGATTGGTCTCATCGTGCTATGATTTAATTGGTTGAAGCCCGTTGGGTTCACGATAGAGCGTGTTATTGCATGAAGTGAATGAGTTTGCAGTCAGAGAGAAGACGACAGCTGGGTTTTGGAGTATGGGGGGTGGTCTGCCCTGGGCTAATTTTATGTGCTGTGTCATGAGCCTATACACCCCACCACCCCCTCCTCACCAACCTGCCATCCTTATCGAGGATCTAATTTTCTAACGTCTGAATCCATGTGACTGTGGATGCAATCAAGTATTTGGATTCTTAATGGGTGGAATGACAAAACAAAGTTGTGTCATTTATAGCCTGCAGTACATACCAGTCAAATCTCACTCACAGAGCAAGTGTGTGTGCATATGTGTGTGTGTTGCTGAGGAGATTCATTGCACAGCACTAGAGTGTGGTTGGTGGTCGGACCGACCAGCTGACCCAATCCACACTAAATTGGTCTCCCATGCGAGACCGCCTGAGAAGAGTTGGGAGCTCGTTTTTCAGCGGTTGAGGAAATGTCTCAAAGTCCTTCCACGCCTTATGTTGAGCTGTGGAGATCATGATGCTTGCAGGTAAAAATCCAGCATACCCTTCAGATAACTGTGTTTTTACAACACATTTGAAGAAGAGGTATAAATGCATGGCACCTGACAAGCATATCCATAGCACTTGAATTTTTTCCTGTTTTGCCCCAATATAATCACAGCCTTTAAAGCAGGGGTGTCCAAGGTGAGCCCTGGTTCCATTTTCAGACCCTATTCTGCAAGAATGAGACAAAACTGTCATTCATATGCAGATGGAGGCTTTTTATGCTTAAATAGGAGAAAATTACTCCTAACAAGTTAAAGTCTTTTCTAACTGAAAACTGTCAAGAACAAGTAATTTTCTTTTAACAACAGTGCTTCTTGGATTTTATTTATTTTCATACTAAGTAGGAGTACATGTATTGGTTTAGACTTTTATTCCAAAGCAAACCTTGGTGAACCAAAATCTACTTTTTGTTCATTTATTAAGTTTGGCTATTTATAGTAAATATTTTCAGAAAAAAAGAAACCCAAATCCTGGTTTCTTTGTTTGTTTTTGTTATTGTTGAAAATGGACCATGTTTTTCCAATAAAACCCCCCAAAATTTTCCAACCTTGGTCCCCTCCTTTGAAAAAGAAAATAAGCATGCACAATTCAAACATTTGGATCTATGGCAGAACCTCGCCTTTTCGCAGTTCAGTGTTTGCAGATTCAAATTATTTGCAGGAGCATAAATATTCAACAGGGAATGTACTTATGTTTAGCTACGTAGCGACATTATGTTTACTTAGCTAAAACTAGCTAAGTAAACATTGCTGCCACAAGTATTACAGCTACACATTTTAATACAGGTAATAAAATCCTAAAACGTGTTTGGTATTAAAATCCTAAACCCGCTACAGGGAAAGTTTCCATGTAACCGACTTTGTTTTCCGTTTTAATTATGGGGGAACAAGGAGAAAGGAAGAGAGAGACATTAATATGCCCAGTGCTACTTGACACACTATTGGCTGTTGCAAAGCAGCCAATCCAGAGGCGCCATTTTTTCCCTCTTGACACTGATTGGCTGTATACCAAGAGACCGAAGAGAGGAAAGTCTGTGATTACTGTTAGCTTTTCTTTTAGTGCTAAGACGGTTTCCACTGTTGAGGTATGTTTGGTGTGTCTAGTTTATTTACATACATATATCTAAGCGTTTTAGACGTCTTCTCAAAGTATTGGCGGTAATTGCAGGTATTCGTGGACGGTTGTGGTCTAAACCTCCGTGAACAGCAGGGGTCCTCTGCAGTAAGAACTTGATCAACGCTGGCATTCTGGAAAAATGAAAAGATAATAAATGTATCATCTATAATCTTATCTCGTGAAGGTGACTCGTTAACCAGTTATAAGAAATGTCATTTTTGAACAAATACATTAGTTAAATTGTTCTACTTCTTCATTAATTGAAAATTAGGTAGTTTCATAAAAACTGCTTTTGTGTTGCACAGAATTATAGCTGCACAGCTACTGTTGTGCTTTACCTCTACAGCTGAACCACAGCAGGAGCTAAATGTGTCCACAGCTGAGAGAAACCACGCGATGTGTTCAGGGCTGACGTCACACTGGGTGGTTGCTTAAATTACTATGGACCTCAAGCAGGTGCTGGTTGCCTCCTGAAAGCTGTTCTCAGGTTCACCAACTCGTGTGAACAGTTGTCGGATTCTGAAGCCGCAGTGGCGACGGGACGTAGAGGGTTTTGTCTTGTAACCAGTGGGTTGCCAGTTGAAATCCCTGCTCCGTTTGTCTCGGTCATTATGTCCACGGGCAAGGCATTTCTTTTCCTCTCTGGTGTATTGGATTGCTAAGAGCTTTGGAGTCCTCAGACTTGATACAGAGCTATAATAGTATGAGCCCTTTACCGTTTCTGCTCATTCATTCTCTTAACGCCATATTTAAATGCATATCTTTCTTTTCAGGTTTAGTACACTAATTATGGAGTCCCAATTTAATGTTGAGGGTGAAATAATTTCATTACTGTTATGTTAGTATTTCTACAGCTTTAAATCAGTGACACCTGATTGGTTGATGGAAAACATAAACCAGACACACCAGTTCCTCTGCCTGTCAGTGTTGAACTTGTTTGATTAAAAAGTTTTAATGTATGGTTTTCTTCTTTTTTTTTTATCACAGTGAGCTATGGAAAACAAATGTATGATTATTAGTTTTTTCTATTTTAGAATATGAGGTTTTCTTGATTTAAATCAAAAGATTATATGATGTTAGTCATTCATTTCCAAATCTGGAAATAAATATGTCGGTTTCCACATTTGTGGTCAATACAGATAATTTTTTATATGGATTAATAATATTTATGTTGTAATTAAAATGATTTCATGTATAATTTTCTTCATTTGATGCTTAATTGATTTCTTAATAATTATGTATGAACAACAAAGCTTTTAATTATTTTTTACTTATTTTTTACTATATTTCATTAGAATATAAGGATTCAAAGCAACAAGTCCATATATTTATTCATATAGTGATTTTATTCTAAGGCAAAAGACAAAATCTGTCAACACAATGATGCCCACTGCTGTAATAATTACAATCTTGTCATAGTTTTGTTGTTGTTTCATATTGCTTGGTACATTATCAATTGTTTTTGTTAATGTTTCATTACTTGAGGAAGTCAAACAGCCTTTTGTCATATTTTATCATTTCAAAGAAGTTTTGATTTCCTGTGGTTGTATTTCACTTCTTCTCTTGTCTCTATTCATACATTTTTCATATTCTGTGTGTGTGTGTGTGTGTGTGTGTGTGTGTGTGTGTGTGTGTGTGTGTGTGTGTGTGTGTGTTGCACATCTAAACCATCTGAGCATCAGTGTGTATGCTATGCTGGTGTTGCACCCGTTCACCTGCTTGTTGTCGTTGAGCTCCTTGCCCCCCCTCTACCCTCCAGTCTTTACTGTAAGCCTCAAAGGTCCTCTGACCTGCCGGGTTACAGATTGGTAAATACAGCCATAAATTGTGCATTTATGTAATGGAGACAAGCGACACAAAGGGTTTAACGGCAGCTGCTGCTGTATCAAGCTACAGGAAAATGACATACACACACACAAATGCACCTGTTTGTTGTGATAATCTGAAGGGGACACAGGCTGGAACGCATGAGCTGCAGCTGTTTTTCTTCCCTTAAAGGGGCAGCATTGTCTGTGTGATTGTGTGGTTGTTGTTTTTTTAGGCATATAGTGCCGTTTTATACCACAGTCAAGTAAAGTGCTATTTTGTCATTAAACGCCTTGAAGTTTGGCCTCTGTTTCTTTAAGAAGCTCTTGTTTTTATTAAACGACGCCTTCAGGAAGTCATCACAATATGACTCCTCTATTGTTCATTGACCAACATTTTTATCAGCATTGCACTGTGAAGTAGGTTCTACAGTGAGCTCACTAGATGTGCAGTTCCACCAGGTTTTTGCTAATTGCTGCTGGCTAGTCTCAAGGAGCTGATTGGGGGAGTCATGGCAGAAGTCTGCTCCATGAGGTGGAAGTATGGGGGAATTTTTCTGTCTTTTGTTCTCAAAACTCCTAATGTTTTTGCTGACATTTTCATTTTGAAAGCAGGACTTTATCCATTCCTTCTCAAAACTTGTAATTCTTGTACTCGAAACTTTTTCTTGCGCTCAGACATGGCCTCTGCTCGGACTCTGCTCACTTGCGAAACATTTTCTGCTTGCACCATCACCTGGTAACCTCTGAGCCAATAGAAAAAAAGTGTTCCACTGGGTGCATTTGTTTCCTTCTAATGGGTGTCCCTGTGGGGCTACTATCGATTGTAGCAACCTGTACCACCCACTGGACGAAGGGAGAAGCAATAGCCTGAGCTTTCTGCTCCAAGTCACACTAAACATCTGCCATCAGTGCTACTGATCACTAACAGCTACTGATCCTAGCCAGGAGTTTGTTCACCCAACCACTCACTACATCCAGCGTGTTGTGCAGGTTGCTACAATCGCATGCCCACTACAAGCAAACAAACACATCTACTACAATACTTTAATTCTATTGGCTGAGCGGTTGATAGACGACTGTGCCAAAAAGACAGTTCCTCTGTTCATAAGTGAGCAGAGAGTATGTCTGAGCGTGAGGCAAAGTTTTGAGTACAAGCATTACGAGTTTTGAGAAGAAATGCAGGAAGTCCTGCTCTCAAAATAAAAATGTAAGCAAAAGTACCAAGAATTTTAAGAACAAAAGACATTAAATCCTGCTTTCAGACTGAAAATGTGTACTGTTGGATTATGGCAGAAAAATTCCCCCGTATGAAAGCCTTTGCCTTTGGAGATTAA